GGACAAGAGGAGGAATTAGTCGTGCCTCGAAACCGAGAAGCAGCGGAAGGAAGCCGCTGAATCGATACATGTTAGAAACAGAAAGTGAGAGTGTCAGTACATCGGCAAAGAAACTGAAACTTAGTGAACATGAATATCATACTAATGTGGACGCAACTTTTGGTTATCGTGTGATCAATTTTGTAACTGTTTTTGCAGCAATTTCTGAATTTGTAGTGTGCAAAGAGTGTAAATCTCCCATAAAGTTTCAAGAAGCAAGTATCCGTGGATTGGGTTTTAAAATTGCAATTCTTTATGAACAATGCATACTGAAATATATAAACTTGTGTCCTGTCATAAACAATCACGCATATGATATAAATCGTCGTATAGTTTTGGCTATTCGATTGCTCGGTGTTGGTGTAAATGGCATTAAAAAATTCTGTGCATTCATGTGTTTACCAAATCCAGTATTCCAGTCATTTTATGACAAAATAGTTTCGACTATTTCTATTGCTACCGCAGCCGTACGAGAAAAATCAATGAAGAACGCAGCTGCTAAAGAGAAAGAATTGTCAGTACAGAAGGGACTCGCAGAAGGGATAGTAGTTTCCGGCGACGGTACATGGAAGAAGAGGGGATTCTCGTCTTTGTTAGGCGTTACATCATTGATAGGGTGGTGCACCGGAAAAGTCATTGATGTTAATGTAAAGTCGAAAATATGTAATCAATGCAATTATTGGAAAAAAAAGAAGGAACGGCAGAATATGAAGAATGGGCTGAGACACACAAAGATAGCTGTGAAAAAAATCACGAGGGATCGGCAGGAAAAATGGAGGTTGACGCAGTAATTGAAATGTTCCAACGATCAGAAGAGCTCCACGGTTTGAAATATAGTCACTACGTAGGAGATGGAGACAGTAAAACATTTAAAGGTATTTTAGACTCGAATCCATATGAAAATTTGGACGTCAAGAAAAAAGAATGTATCGACCACGTTCAAAAGAGGATGGGAACGCGACTTCGGAATTTGAAAAAAAATGTACGAGGTCTTGGTGGCAAAGGCAAACTAACCGGAAAATTAATTGATGATCTATCATTATATTTTGGTCTGGCAATACGTCGAAATCATAATTCAATTGTTAATATGAAGAAAGAAATATGGGCCACGCTTTATCACAAGATTTCCACGGACGACAACCCGCAGCACGATAGATGTCCAGATGGCGAAAATTCCTGGTGCTCGTGGAAAAAGGCTATATCTCGCAACAAACTCGTCAATTATCAACACAAATCAGCAATGAAAGACGAAGTTTTCAATGCTGTTAAATCCATTTATGAAGAACTCAGCCAGGATAAACTATTAACACGGTGCTTGGGTGGGTTTACGCAGAACAGCAACGAGTGTTTCAATTCTGTTCTGTGGGCGCTCGCTCCTAAAACCATGTCCAGTGGCAAAAAAATCATCGACATTGCTGCTGATATTGCAGTATGTAATTTTAATGATGGATTACAGAGCATTATGGACATTATGCAAACTTTGAACCTACCTATAAGTCAAAGTTGCTACGATTTTTGTATAAAAGCCGATAATTATCGTATTCAGAGAGCGGAGGTTTCGATTACTGAAGCTGCTCGAGAGGCTAGAAGAAGTGGTGTTTCTGCTCACAAGCTTGCTAATGAAGAAGAAATAGATGCTGAAGGTATCCTGTATGGCGCAGGTATTGCAGATTGACGGTTAGTTGAAAATATTTATTAGTTTCATGTATGTAAAACTTTAAACGCGTTTTTCTCGAAACGATATTTTTTAAATCTGCGTGTCAAATTAGTCTTCCATTTTTCATCGGATTGACTTGAAACTTTGCATAATTCTTCCCTATGGTATAATCTAAGGATGTACGTAGGATTTTCTCTGTAGCGTTGTTATTTTATTTTTGGTGCACAGTTTTATAAACTTTTTTTACCTTGAAAAATTGAATTTTTTTTTAATGACCGCCATTTTCTTAAAAATCGAAATTTCGTAAAATTCCTACGTACATACTTAAAACATATTGTTATTAATAAGAAAAAATTTAGATTTTTGTTCTAGGAGCCACGTAGAAGAAGAAATTTGACACGCAGACTGACGGTGTTCCTCAAAAGCCGTATACTTTGGCCCCACCTACAAGAGGCTATTTTTTACTTTTTCGACATTAAAAAATTTTTTATTGCAGCTTAAGATTGTCTTAATGAATGGCTAAAACCGATTTTCTTTCTGCGCATTTTTTGTATGAAAAAAAAATCATGAAAAACGCCTCCAAAATTGCAATCAAAGGTGGTATCCTGCCTTAACATATAAATATGAATAGGAAACATTAGAATTTAAACATGAGTTCAATGTGGGTCGCTGAAAACAAATGCTGAACTTTCTGTTCAAGCATTTGATATTTTACTATTAAAATAAAATGTATAATTATGAAATCTTCTTTTTTATGTATTATGAGAGACACATTTAATAAATACAAGATGCATCAAAAATTGTAGTATAACCGACAAGATGATTTTCCATACAAATATGAAATGTCGATTAAATGTACACACCGGCATTAATGCTGTCCTTATATCTGTGTAACTTGCACACGATGACGCGTTACTCACACACAGCTGTCTGTAGGTGAGGCACGAGCAACACGGAGTGGCGGTAAGGGCTAGCTGTATAAGATCGTAGGACGGTTTGGAAGGGAATAGTGGTGGGAGTCTCAGCGATCTTCCATCCTTTATCGCAGACGTAAAAACGAGAGAGATAGCATTATGAGACGTGGTCGCCAGAAACGCTATCAAGTGACACAATAGTGTCGTGAAGCCAAATGCAAGCAACATGCTCGTGGCCGACCGTATATACTTAAGCGACGACTTTAGTTGAACACAGGTACGATTCCTCGTTCGACTATAACGGTTGAACAGATGAGATTCTGAATGGGCTTAATCGATTCCTTGGATTTACGTTACTTAATAAAACTGTCTTTACTTTTGCTCTACACGCTCTAGAAGCTGAGATATTTTAACCCAAAGCCCGGAATTATAAAATTATGCGTGAGAAACGTCGTCGTCGCCTCCTCGTTACGAAATCTCAGTTGACTGTATTCCTTCGCTAGAGGCGCTACGGTTGAGATCAGCCTGGCTAGCCGACATGAGAGAGAGAGAGGGGGGTTGAGAGAGGGGAAGATGGAGGGCGAGAGAGAAGAGAGGGAAAAGGAGAGGGTGAGGGAGAGAAAGAGAGAGAGGAGATAGGGGAGGAGGATGGGAGGGGGAGATAGAGAGGGAGGGAGGGAGAGGAAAAGAGTGAGAGAGAAGGAGGAAGGGAGAGAAAGTGGCGTATAGGTGGTGCTCGTAAAGAATACCTCCAACGTATGGCTTGCATGTCATAAAAGGCGACTGAAAGGCCCCCATGGGCGTATTGCTGCGCCCACGAGTATTAGGGATCGGAGGAAGGTACTCCTATGGGAATCGTACTCAAAGGTCCCTACAACAGAGGAGCGTGTCGGACCCCTTATACCAGTATGGTACCGACCTCTCGGATGTGCAGCTGCGCTCGGGACTATTAGGAGAAGGGGATCGCACTCGATTCGTCCACGGGGCGGCCGATGCGGGTGAACTGATTCTACAGCGGGGTCCCTAATGCCAGTGTGGCAACCAGTCTATCTTGAGTAGGCCGCAATGGCCGAGAATATCAGGAGTCGGCGTGGCCGGTCGGTTCCTACAACGAAGGGAATGAGTGCTCGGGGGGCGACGATTGCGTCATTTTAAAGACGAGCGGCGTGGGCAGTTAGCGCCCGCGGCATGGGTGGGTTGCAACACTCTTTCGCCGTTGTCTGTCTGCGGTGTCTCCCACGTGGCGGCATCCCCCTTCAGTACCCGCATTGTCGGAAGTGCGGGACTTCTGAAATCGGCTCGGTCCCTTATCCTGGAGTTGAGGTGGGAGTAGGGTGCTCAGTGCCCTTATGCGTATTCCCAGGGCATATGGTCCCATGACATATGGTGCTTCCTGGCGAGTTACGCCAATTTGGCCGCGCAGGCTGACGCATGGCGAGGTACTTGAAGACAGGTCCGAAATAACAGATAACGTCCGAGGGTGTCTGACCGACTTAGACAGGCTCCATCGTAAGGCACGGAGCCTAGGAGAGACGGATCGGGCTGCCTTCCGAAGCTGCATCGAGGCTCTCGGTGCGGATTTAGAGCAACTCGAGTCCGTGGTGAGACAGAGCGTCCAGGCCCAGATCCGTCGGAAGGCCCGTGTCGTGACGCGGTGCCGGGAGGCGAAATGCCGCGTTGCACGGCTGAAGGGTTCCCGCCTGCAACTCTAATCCGTGGTAGACGCCCTCGAGGAGGAGAACGCCGTCCTCCGACAAAAGATGGAGTCTTTCCAGGCGGTGAGGGACTTCAGGATTGAGATGAGTCGGTGGAGGGGCATTGGGCCTTCCGTCGCAGTGATGGTGGATCGTGCGACGTCCCCGGCCTGGGTTGCTGCCCCTGGTATCAGGGGGGCGACCTCCGCCTGGGCGTCCGCGGTTGGGGTCCGGGGGCCTGCCACCTCCTCGCCGTCTGATCTGGGATGTGAGGTAGTGGCCCGAAAGGACAAGAAAAAGAAGCGGCGCAGGATCGGGGGAGATGCTCCTCCGGCCACGCAAGTGAAGAGTGCGCCGACGCGAACCTGTCCTGGCAGGGCTGATGGGGGGGGGGGCTCCGGCCCGCCCTTGTCCGTCGGGCGGTGGCCCCGGGCGACTCGTGCCGCAGGAAGAAGAAACCGTCACGGCTGCCGATCACTGCGGCCATGGCGGTCCGATTGGAGAGCGGAGAGCCTTCCTATGCGGAAGCCCTACGCAGGGCCTGAAGGAAAATCCTCCTGACCGACCTGGTGGGCCGCGCGGCCTCTGTGGGGCGGTCCGCGGATGATGAACTGCTGATCGGGGTCGCCGGCCCCTCGAGAGATGCTCGGGTGGACGCCATCGCCGCGAAACTGAGGGCTGTCCTGCCAGAGGCGTCGGTCTCGTGACCTCCGTGGGGGAGAGGTGCGGCTCTTCGGTTTTGATGAGTCGGTCCTCCTCAAGGAGGCAATGGAAGCCCTGGTGGCCTATGGCGGGTGCAAGCCAGCCGATGTCCGGCTGGGGCCAATCCGTTGGGAAGAAGGAGATCGGGTCGGTATAGGCCTGGCTCTCCCTGGCTGCGGCATTGGCTGCCGCCAAAGTTAGAGAGATGGCGCTGGGGTGGGCATCGGCTTATATTGAGTTGCTGGTCAGTCGTTTGTTTCAGTGCCACAAGTGTTGTGGCCCTGGCCACACCCAGGCCTCCTGTCGCGGTCTTATTGACCAAAGGGGGACATGTTATAGATGTGGCCAGGAGGGGGACATCGAGCGAGACTGCGCGACTGGCGCGTCCAGCGCGGTATGCCAAGAGGCGGAGCGCGGCGCGGACTACCGAATGTGTGGCCCATCATGCGCCATCTATACATGAGAAATACGTGATGTCCCGATGACTGTTTCGCTCACTCGAATGTCCATGCTTTTTTTCTTGTTAATAAGGAAATTACTGTAATGTAAAAGGCACGCCAAGTTCTTTTTATGTCAGTTATTATAATTTTTTTCAACATTATTGTAAGTTATAATTTTTTTCAACATTATTGTATTTCTTTAATTATTTTATTTTTTATTTAATAATATGTTACATATATTTTGTTAATATGTTACATATATTAATAATATAATTAATTCATAAATATATTATATAGCCAAAACCACATGTTTATAAAAACAAAAACTGAAATGATTAATCATTCGTACTTGGCGTAAACCTCTTGATATCATTACTTTTGTAGAAAGTATAAAATTGTCTTGTATTTTTCAATAAAGTATTTGCGAGAATACAATTGTTCTGAATAACGTTGTTTTAATAATATTATTTTAAATATCTTTTAGCTGAGTTTTTGTTGTAATTTATTTATAACGATCTTTTCTTGTAAAGAAAAATAATGCTAAAGCGCGCGCACTTGGCTTCTTTTTTATATTGGGAGTACAAATAAGTCTCCGCCGTTTGACAAAAGATAGTCCCACTAGTAAGTTATGGTTGAAATTGTCATATGTAAAACGTCATATCGTAAGGTTGGACATCTGGCAACACCATAACCTTGAAATATTAGCCATTTTGTATCAGCATCACATAATTTTTTTTGTGCGAAAATGTCGTGATTTGAGCCGAATAAGCGTTTTTGCCGTCATTTGCGAGAACTTTTGATTTACTTCTTTAATTTGAAGAAATTTGCAGCTGAAGCGCATCGATTGATTATAGAAGCATATGGTGAGATTGCTTTAAGTGAGAGAAGTTGTCGGGAGTGGTTTCAAAAGTTTAAGAACGGTGAGTTTGACGTCGAAGACAAAGAACGTAGCGGAAGACCGAAAGTGTACGAAGACGCGGAATTGGAAGCATTATTGGAGGAAGATTCGTGCCAAACGCAAGAAGAACTTGCACTTACATTAGGAGTGACTCAACAAGCAATTTCACATCGTTTAAAATCGTTGGAAATGATTCAAAAGCAAGGAAATTGGGTTCCATATGAATTGAAGCTGAGAAACATTGAACGCCGATTTTGCACATGTGAAATGCTGCTTGCCAGGTATAAACGAAAGGATTTTTTGCATCGTATAGTCACTGGTGATGAAAAATGGATCCACTACAATAACTCAAAAAAGAGAAAATTATGGGGACCACGTGTCCATGCTTCAATATCGACAGCCAAGCCGAATATTCATGGAAAAAAATTCATGTTGTGTATTTGGTGGGATCAGCTTGGTGTCGTGTATTATGAGTTGCTCAAACCGAACGAAACCATTACTGGGGCTCTTTACCGAACACAATTGATGAGATTGAGCCGAGTACTCAAGGAAAAACGCGCCCACTACTACTCCAGACACGACAAAATTATTCT